GAGATAGCAGAGAGAGAGAGAGCAGATAGAGAAAGACTCTAAAAAGAGGAGAGAGACGAAGAGAAGAAACAGAGAAGAGAGAGAGGAAAAAATGACGACAGAGAAAGAGAGGCAAAGAGAGAGAACGAGAGAGAGATGAGAAGAGAGTAGAGGAGAGAGAAGACGAAGAGACGATGAACACGACGAAAGAGAAAAGAAAGGAAGAGAGAGAGAGACAGAAAGACAGAGACAGAAAACAGAGAGACAGAGAGACAGACAGAGACAGAGACAGGAGAGACAGACAGAAGACAGAGAGACAAGACAAGAGACAGAGACAGAGAGACAGAGAGAGACAGAGACAGAGACAGAGACAGATCCATCCATCCATCCATCCATCCATCCATCATCCATCCATCCATCCATCCATCCATCCATCCATCCATCCATCCATCCATCCATCCATCCATCCATCCATCCATCCATCCATCCATCCATCCCATCCATCCATCCATCCATTCCATCCATCCATCCATCCATCCATCCATCCATCCATCCATCCATCCTTTTTCTTTCCCTCCTTTTTCTTTTCCTCCCTTCTTCTCCTCCATCCCTCACCTTTATCGCAGTCACTCTTTCCCTCTCTCTCCCTTTCTCCGTTTCCCAATACCTTTTCCCCTCTTCTCCTTCGTTTCCGTCTCCACCTTGCTCTTTCTCTTCTTCCTTTACCTTTCCCCTCTCCCCTTCCCTCTCCCTCTCCCATACTCTCTCCCTCACCCTCTCCCTCTCTTTCTCTTTCTCCATTTCCCTCTCCCACCTCTCCCTCCCCATCCCCATCCTCCCATGCGTTCTCCCTTTTCCTGTCATTCCTTTCCCTCTCCCTCTCCCCCTATCTCTCCTTCCCTCCCTATTCTTCACCTTCACCTTCACCCTCTCCCTCTCCTTCTCCCCTTCTTCCTTCACCTTCATCCTCACTCCCTCCCTCTCTATCTCCATCTCCCTTTCCCTCTCACTCTCCCTGTTTCTCATTCTTCTCCTCATTTTCCCTCTCCCTCTCATTCTCCTCCTCCTTCCATTCCTTTCTCCTTCTCCTTCTCCTTCTTCTCCTTCTCATTTTCCCTCTCTCATTCTCATTCCTTTCTCCTTCTCCTTCTCCTTCTCCCTCTCCCTCACTGGCACTCCCCTCGCTCTCCTCGACCTCATTACAAGGCCCGGCCGACTCCCAGGTGTCTCGTTGACCCTAACTTTTATACACACAAACCTTCATGCTCGCCAGACGTTTACTTGTGTCATGCTCACTTTATTGCTCTAGTCATTCCCTTTTCCTGGGGTCAAACTAGGCATACTTCCCAACTGTGTCTAACTATTCTTTCTACTCAGTCTTATTGCATGAGGCATGGCACCGTGTCGCTAATATTTTAACCTGTTGACTGCAGCTATTGCTTAACAAACGAGTTTAACTTTGTGTATATGAATTCTTGCTTGCTCGACTCACCTCCTACTGGTGGAAGCTCGTAGATGAGGGCAGATCTCGGATTCAAACAT